AACTTCAGGTAGGCTGGTCGTGTCGGGAAGTCCGTAGGGGGGAAGAGCTGGTTCTCACACGTCCCCATGCTGGTCGCAACTTCGAGGCCCAAGGGCGCCAAGGCAAACCAGCCTTGGCAGCTTACACTTTTTGTTTTGATAACAGTGTACGTTAAAGGTTGAAACGAGCTAAGCCCAAAAGTGCGAAGATTACATAGTAATAATAAAATTGTGCGAAGCAGCCCAAGAAGGCAAGGAAGAAAGATATGACGCTGGCCCAGAAGGCCCGCATGTGTGGATTCTGCTGTACGGTGCCGCAAACCCTCAATAGCGGCAGCTCCGTAGCCTTCTTGCTGGAATCCACTGCGAGCTTGTACTCCATGGCTCTACAAAGCGGGATGACAATAGTCTCTTCTCTGAGGCTAAAGCTCGAGCACCAATAACTTGCGCCAACAAATGCGAGGGTCTACAGCTTCGGCCTAGGCCCAGGCGTTTCGGGCTGTTTAGCTGTTCGGCGCCATTTTTGCTGTTCTTCTGCAAACTCTGCTCACGATGCAACACAAACCTACTTTTCCTAAACCCTAAACTCCTAAACGGGTGAACCTCCTGTACGAAGTCCGTGGCTTGCGGCTGGCTCTCGCTGCCTTCCCTGAGATCGAGGGCTTAGGGTTTATAGGGCTTAGGCTCAGTTTCTTTTTTCTATGTGCTCTTTTCCGTCTGCACTTGCGTCCGAAACCCCGATTCAAGGGAGCCCTAAGGGTTCAGGTCCTAGGGTTTAGGGTTTAGAGTGTAGGGCTTGGGGCTTAGGGTTTAGGGCTTAAGGTCTGGGACATTCCCGGTGTTGTTGCCATGAGTAAGCCAACCACGACCCTTACTATTCTCGCGCTGCATGTTCACTGTTCCTGAAACTGGTCCAGAACTGACGAAAATCCGATCTTCCTCAACCCTACACCCCAAAGATTTCCGATATTTCGGGGTTTAGAGTCTTGACATGTCTTGACTAAGGGGCTTCGGGTCTTGATTTATTTTTGGTGGAGCCACTAACGACGCCTAAACCCGAAACCTCAAACTGCACACAGCTTCGGGGTCTCCGTCAACGTACCGAGTTCCAGAAGTGCCTTTAAACGTTTCGGCCCTTCCGTTGCAACTTGCTGGTGTGGAACATAGGAAATTTGGGGAACCTGAACCCTAAACCCTAAGTTGAGTAAACCCTAAGTTGAGCTGAGGCCCTGGCAACAGCAGAAGCCAAACCTGGCAAAAAACTGGTGGAAGCTTGCGAACTAATGTAGGGGCCTCAAGAACTAGAATTGGGTTTGGGGGCCTATTATGCTGTAATTGTGACAAGGAGCCCCCAAGATAGTATGGGTACTTGTTTAGGCCCCTATAATACGCTTAAGGCTGCGGGTGCCTAGGGCTGTAGGGTTTTCAGGCTGCGGTTCAGGGTTTCAGAGCCTTTTAGTGGCTTCAAGCAGTCTTGCATCTTGTATCCCAGAGTCAATGCCCTGTTACGAAGTTTAGGTTTCGTGCATTTGAGTCTCGGGATTTGAGTTCAAGGTTTAGTGCCGTTTAGGGTTCTAACCTCCGCGCCCTAAGCCGTGTCAGGAACTGAGGGCCCGAAAATTTGACATCATATTGTAATCTATACTAATACAGTCTCCATTTTCGACTCTATTAAAGGCTGCGACAGATACTTCGGTATGGACCTTGTTCGAGTATGCATTAGTTATGTATGTCTTGTATTTCAAACACATGAAAGCTTGCAGCCAATCCGCGGCCTGCCACCAGAACCTGACGTCCGGCCCAGTGAGTAAGGCGGGTCGAGGGCTCCAGGTAGCGACCGAAACTATCAGAATGTGTCTGGAGGCATTCGATACCCACAACTAGCTGCAATCAATCCGAATCTCTGGGGACTGTAACGGAAAGGCGTCGGCCTTGCTGTCATTTTTTTTTTGGAGGGGGGGTGGGTTTGGTATGACAGTAGTGGTGCTTGAGTGCTCGAAGGCCCTAAACTAGACATGCTTCGAGCTTCCTGGCTCCAATCACACTTGCTATCTGCATGGTTGCTCTTTGGTGTTATCTTTTGTTGGTGGCGCTACGGCTTGGACTTGCTGTTGCTATCTGTTGGAGCATCTTATCAGATATCACAAAAACGATCATTATCTGATACTGTTAGTGTTCTGCTTCTGCTACTACATGGCACCAACGGCGACCACCCCAACCCCTCCCATCTCGCGCCCGAACACCAACTACCACGAGGATCACATCTGCTGCTACCACTACCACGAATGCTACGATGAAGATTATGACTACGACTGCCACTAACTGACTTCGTCGTCCACGAAGACTAATACTGATACTGCTACCTCTCTTTCTGATCTAACGAATTGCTACACAGATTCTGGCTACCGCCTGCGACATTGCTCATCATTCTGGACAGCCCTCTGATGCTCCTGAGCTATCCGGCCGGTGACGGCAGAAATGCATGTTGCCATCAGCCGCGGGAGGCCATGCGAGCCCATGTCCACTGACAAGCTAGAGGATTCGGGCGCCTCAGTCGGATTCTGAACCTACAAACACTGGAAGCCATGCAGAAAACTGACACGGCCTATCTTTCTGCATCTACCAGCATGTGAAGGAGAGTATGCATATGCATGTGCAGGCAGAGAGAGCTTCGAGCCCTGGCCGTGGTGCCGTTGCGGCCTTGGGTCCATGTCGACAGCAAGCGGGAACTTACTATAGGGGCCTTAATAATTACCAATACTGTTTTGGGGGTCCTTGTTATAGTATAATGGTGCCCGATACCCTATTCTAATTATTAAGGCGCCTACAGTACACAATGCAAGGTCAACCACCTTGAATGGACAAAGCGACACGTAAGCCTTTGTTATCAAGGGACCCCAGAAGCGAAGAACTAGTTCTTCATCGAGACTTAAACCCTTACCTAAACCCCCCAAAGGTAGGTAAAATAATAACCCAACTCCTCTAAAAGGCTATTATTCTACATACTTTCGGGTTCCAGGTAATCCTTAGACCCAAGTTCAAAACATGAACTTTTCGCTATCGGCGCGGGATCGAACACAGGGGCTTTCACAAATAGAATCAGGTTCCGTCTAAGGGCTCTATATAAGGGTTTCACTATAGGGGTTTGAAGATTTAGCACCGGGGTCGTATCTGTTAGAATAAGGTGGTACTATGATGATCTGAGGGACTGTACGGGGATAATATGACTAATTTCTCCGACCTCCATATTGATTGTGCCTGCCCTGGCAGTTGTGTTTCGACCGGCTCGCTGAGTCACGCTCAGGGCACTATCTTTGCAAGGTCATTTGATGCATCGAATTGTAGATCGAATTGTGCAAGCTCTTGAGTCTTAAATGCCGCTGCTTGCTTGAAGCTGCCCCAGAGAGGAAGCCGTTGGTCGTCGCCAATTAATCGTGCTGCAGTACGGTATACGTTTATTATGACTCTACATCATGATGTGCATATGCATGCATGCCCACTACAAAGTTTCTACTTACTCGCCATCCTATGTAATGCTCTTCCCGGTGGAGCCAGAAGTCAACACGCCGCGTTTATGATACACTCTGAAGGAGAGGCAAACGTGATACCGAGGATTGGACAATCGCCACACAGCTATATCATGTTGCGTTACAACTTGCTAAAGTTCAATCCACTGCATGCCTACTCATAGTTGGAGTAAAGTTGAACCATAGTTGGAGTAAAATTGAACCCGTAGTAGCAGTAATAGTAGTAGTAGTCGTAGTAGTAGTAGTAGTAGTAGTAGTAGTAGTAGTAGTAGTAGTGGTAGTGGTAGTGGTAGTGGTAGTGGTAGTGGTAGTGGTAGCGGTAGTAGTATAGTCGTAGTCGTAGTCGCAGTCGTCGTCACCGTGGTGGTGGTGGAGGCGGTGGTGGTGGTAGTACGGAGTACATACAGGTTGTCGTCGTAGTACTGGTTTTATTTTTGCAGAAGCAGCAGGTCGTTGTATAGTGGTAACGCCATTAGTCTCCGCCAAATGAAGGAGCGTTAGATTCGTTAGATTGCGTCGCATGGTCATGCTCGTATATACTCGCAGCACCTCGCAGCAGCATCTCTATGTATCCCTGTACGTATGTACGAGTTTATGCATGTACGCAGATATCATTTTACAAAAATACACAACTAACTAAACAAATGAATGAGTCAGTATGCATGTTATGTATATGTACCTAAAGGCATATATATATATATATATATATGTATCTGTATATTCTCCCGAACGTTGTTAATGTAAAGGTCTCTGTATATGTCTATGCGTAAAATCTCCTCCTGCAGGTCCATGCACTGAAAAGTATGCATACACTACCAGATGAGTGCGTGCATGTGCAGGTGTTCATATCTCAGGAATCACATCTGTACCCAAGCCTATTCAGATGGAAAAACATGGCGGGTGGGTGCAATAGGTCATAATTACACCTATTCGCTCCTCAATGGTACCGGCCCCAGCCGTGTAGCACCCTGTCATCATGGGAAGGTCTGGGTCGTGGCCCACTCCTGGGTGCGGCAAGTTTGGCGGGCATGGGATCTGCGTTGGAAGACAAAGCACTTCGGTAAGAGCCATCTGCGAAACAGTGCCGGGTGCACACACACACACACAAAACAAAAAAAAACACACACACACACACACACACACACACACACATGTTTAGTTGTCAAAATTAGGGTCCCGTTTTGGGTACCATAGATATTAGGTGCCGTATTACAACAGGTCCCCAAAAAGGGATCCTAATTTTGACAACCACCCACATAGATAGAGGCAAAGAGAGGACTCTTTTCGACTCCCTGGGCTCCTTAGCCGCCTTACCCAGTCGCTGGTGTCTGCGAAGAATGATTTTGAAACCCGAGATTCTACTTTTGAAAAATGACAGAAGTGGGCCTCAATTATTGAGGCATTGAACAATCATTTAAATGCACGGCCGGATCCGGCAAAGTCAGTTCGCCTGAACTGTTGCCGGTGCCGACGAAAATGATCGACTGACTGGTCTCAGTTTCCGTTACTCTCAGACCTCCACAGAGCAGGTCGGAAGCGAGCACCTCGTTGCGAGGCCTTGCAAATGACAGGCGAATATTCCCAAATGTATGGGAGAGCGACCACGAACCACATGAAGGCCAGCGAGCCCACGACAGGCCACTGGAAATCGTGCCCGAAAGTATACTTCATCACCGCATATTGGAACCACAGCAAATTGTTGATAGGGAGGAAGATGATCACGAGAACTGGGAATACAATCCACAGCGGCACTCGGTGACGGAGTCGTGCCCCGATTCTCCTAAGTCTCAGGAAGATTCGTTGGGGTCTTTCTTACCAAGTAAATGGGCAACTCAAACCGCGAAGCTGTAGAACTCTGAAAACTACATGCCTCTATGTATGTATGTATACATACATTACATTATACATTCCCTTACATTACTTAGATACATGGCCAAGTCTCCAGCAGAGCAGCATCTCCCAGAAAGCCAGGAAGACCAAGGGAGGAATCTGGAACCAGCCAATCATCCAGCCTTCAACCATCCAATACGGTTTAGGATTTAGGGTTTAGGGTTTAATAACCCTAAACCCTAAACATCCCTAAACCCTAGACCTTATGGGTAGTTCTCTGAAAGAGCTCGGTCCGCAAAATAGTACGGCCCACGTCTTGAAGGGAGAGATCTACCCCTATAGCCCTTGACCCTCAACTATCAACCCTGACCCTCAAACCCTTTCCCCCCCAAGCCCTGAACCCTCAACCCCATATACCTAAACACTGAAAGCCTCCCTGGAGGATCATGGGACTTAGTAAGTAGGGTTATAAGTGCCTTAATTGGGATTACAAGTACTCGTAAGTATAGTTACCTTATGCATCACCCCACTTTCTAAGTCCCATGATCCTTCGAGTAGGTCCATTCAGCCTTCAGCCGTCCATCCGAAGGGGTCGTTCACCGCCATGTACACATACTGGCAAAAGATTCCGAGCAATGGCGGGGCGCAGTTTGCCACGACGTAGCGAAAGTGCGGGGCACCGGATCCCAAAATTTCCTGCGAACTCATCATTCCGAAACTCTCAACCCGAAGAGGACCGCCATGCAAGTGGTAGTCTTATGCCCCGATGGTAGCCCCGATGGTAGCCCCTAGGGAACCCTCTCCTGCACGAAGCCACGCAGCTGGGTGCGGACCATCTCCTATACTGGATTTAGACCCCCAGCAAGAATTAGAACTTTAGCTAATTCTTGGGGACTAAAGGAGCCCTTAACCCTAACCCACAAATTGAAAAATTACCGGGACTCAAGGGGAACCCTAAACCCTAATCCCTAACCCCCAAAATCAAAGAAACACATATAAGTTCCACTGAGTCTCGTCAAACTTGTCCAAATGACCCTCGGGCGTTGTCTCATCGGGAAACCATCTCCTGGGCTCTGCAAGGAACTACCCAGAGGCTCCATAGTAGTTTCTTTTTGGGATTACCTTATAGGATTCTATATATGAACCCCAAAAAGGAACTACTTTGGAGCCTCAATATAAATAGAGGGGACCGTTTGGGTGATAATAGTAGGAACAGAAGCAATAGTGAATCGAAGTAAGACAAACCACAGTGATAGTAGCAGAAAGTTGCAATGATAGCAATCGTGGTGTTATTAGTTCGTAATTGTTTTGTCAACATTTTCAAACATTGAATGTTACCAGAATTAGCCATTGCGCTACCAGCTATATGTGCTGGATATAGCTCTTACGATTCGAACAAGGTGGTCTTTCACACTAAAGACCAGCATGTTTTCCGAGCCCAGTCTCTTGAGAGTTTGGAATACCAGCTTCCGATCGCAGAGCAGTTCTTCGCCACTTTCAGGATGACAATGATCCATGTCACAACAGCTGCACTGAGAATCTCGGATCTTGAAGCCGCCCAGCTGCTCCTTTAGCTTCAGGAGCGCTTCCATCTGCAAAGTGCCGAAGTAGAGGCTTACCGGAATGACCAGCACCAGAGCTGGTGCCGCCACGATGAAGACTGCGACGATGAAGTCCCAGTACCGATCTTCTTGCTGCTCGAGGAAAGGATCGATCTCTCCCAATCTGACCTGGGAGTTTCCGAAAATTAGGGGTACCTTTTTCTGGGGTCCTGAAAATGAGGATCCTACTTTTTAGGGTAATATATTAGGGTCCAAGTAGGTTCCCCTATATTCGGAAACTCCCACCTGCACGTCCTGCACAATGAGGCCTTGAAAGCAGGCGACCAAGAGCGCCTCGAAAACGGAGAAGCAAAGAATCAAAGGCCCCATGCCCGCTGGTGCGAACTCGATGTTCTTCGCCCTCTCTTCGCCATGCCGGAGGAAGCCTGGTGCTGTGCTGGGAAGGAAAGAAAGCAAGCTCCTTGTGATGGGCTCCCTCTTCAAACTTCAGCAAGCAAGAACCACGGAAACTAAACCGGATCCCTAAACCGCAGCCCTACAGCCACTCAAGGAACCCGTAGCTATAAATGGGGTTGTAAGATGTTGTAACGCAACCATAATTATAACGCATAGTAGGGGACTTATAACCCACTTATATTTCTACAGAACCCTACAAAACCCGACACAGCCCCCTCACTGAATCCTGTAGTTGCAGGAATCCCTAAGATTGACCAGGAAGCCCCTAAACCTTTAGTAGCCATTACAGCAACCCTCATCTAGCACTTATGTATGTCACTATGTAGGTATGTATGTAATTATGCATGAATGGTAGGTTGGCAGGTTGGGAGGTAGGTAGGTAGGTAGGTAGGTATATGCACCTACACATCTATCTGCTTATCTATCGGTTATATATAATTCACTATATATATATATGTATAGTTATAGTGACAATAAATGAATACATATACATATGTATATATATAGTTAGCCTCGCCCTCTGAGTAAAGTCTGAAAAAACCTTATGAAATCCAAGAGGCAAGCAATTTCAAAAGCTGTCCAAAGTCTCGTGAAGTATCGGGGGCTCCAGAGGACCACAAGCCGCCTGGAGGTTTTTTTTGGCTCCTTTCAAGGGTTCCTTTAAAGGCTCCTTCAAGGGGCTCCTTTGAAGGGTTCCTTTAAAGGGCTCCTTCAAGGGGCTCCTTTGAAGGGTTCCTTTAAAGGCTCATTTAAGGGGCTCCTTTGAAGGGTTCCTTTAACGGGCTCCTTTTAAGGGCTCCTCCAAGGGATCTATAATTAATAAGGGATCTATAAGGGTTTAGAGGTTCTTCGTGAGGGGAAAGTGCATTAGAGGTTCTTGAGGGTTAAGGGTTTAGGGTTGAGGGTTACTGGTTACTGAGGGGCCGAGTATCCTAGCCCGAAAGAGGCTAACCTTCTCCATTATGGTAGGATTATATGAACCCCAAAAGGTTAGAGGTTACTTACTCAACTACTAAAGTAAGGTTAAGGGCTTTAGAGGTTCTTCAGGGCCCTGCACCCGAAACCTTAAAAGTTCAGGTTCAAGGTGTGTTTGAAATGCAATAGCCTTTCTCTCCGCAGCAGATCTGCCTCTTGAGAGGCATGCACTTGCACTAAGTGCTGAACGAACATCAAGACAAATATCCCTTACCATCGCATAAGGATTTAGAGGTTTAGGCGCTAAGGCTTTCGGGCTTTAGGGCCTTAAACCCCGAACTCCCAACCCTAAACCCTTGACCCCGATCCCTAAACTCCAAGGGTTTAGGGTTGATAGTTTAACAGTAAACCCCATGAAGTTGGAAACCGGATAAAGGCCAAATAGTGCTGGGATTCCCTATACACTACTCTTAAGGATTGAGGCTATTGCTTCTTCTGTAGAGGCACCTGGACTTTGAGAGGAAGCCGCCTAAGCCGAGGATTCCCGACTTCTTCAGCTGCTGGTCATGCTGGGCGATGCAGAGCCGGTCCAAGAAAACCATGTTCCTTGCTCCCAGAGAGCCCAATACCCCTTAATTAAGGAATATATATATATATATATATATATATAAATTATAATAGGATCCCTAATTATGATTTAAGCCATATTGCTTAATTAAGGGGTATTGGGCTCTCTAGGCTAGGCTACACCACTTCAGCCGCAAGAGCCTCAAGGGAATTTAGCTAACCCAAAACCCCCAAACCCTAAACCCTTATGGGACAGCTAAGGCGCTTCTTAAAGAGGCCGCGGATCCGCTGCCAGAAGGCAAAGAAAAACCAAAAGGTAGCATGTGTGAAAAGGGTGCCCGTGAGCCATCCGCCTTAGGCACCAAAGATCTGGCAAGGGTTTGTTCATCTTAGAACGGCGGATAAGTCGTAAAGAACTCCGAGCCACCTGGGAGAGACCCGAAGATGATCAGGACGCAGCTGAAGATGCACGCGATTACGTTTGCCCATGCTGCCGGCACACTGTTGAAGTAGAGTAGCCTAGGTGGCTCAGCAACCCCTCCAAGAAGAGAGATACCCAACATCAAAAGGGCAAAACGACAGCAGGTTACTGCCTGGGGATCCGAGTGGCAAAGTGAGCGTCTTCAGCCAACGCTTTGTCTTCCAGTCATGACTCAGGAAGGAGTCAATCATCTCGACCTGCTGGCTCAAGTTGAAGTCATCGGAAGCCTTGTTTGTTGACCAATGACCCCCGCAGCTTTGGAGACAAACGTCCTGGGCTGCTCATGGAAGCTTTAAAACTTGCTTCTTCTTCAGAATATACAACACTCAGCTAAGACTCAACTATACTAGGCGTTCTATGCCTAGGCCCTATGCTCTATATACCATACCGTACTAGACCACACCGTACCATTTTAAGAGTGGCCTAGGCTCCAAGGGAACTGCCCTCAGCAACTCCGGATCGATCTCTGAGGCTAAAGATGAGATCGATGGTCTGCGAAGGGACTTCCGGGCCTCCTCCACGCGCACGTCCATTTCTTGCAAAGGTGCTGGCTCTTGCGGCTGAGGCACCATGGCGAGTTGTTCACCTCTTTCCGAAGTCTTTGACTGCAGCGGTGAGCGCCTGGGCCTACTTATCACTTGCAGCTTGAGCCAACTCACGAAGTCACCACGTTCTCGGCTCGACTGCAGGCCATGAACGTGTAGCACGGGCGTGGTCATGGGCACGAGGCTGGCGATGGACAACAAGCGAAAGCTCCGGCGAAGCTGAGTGCTGCTCGCATCCTTCACCCGTGCTTGCCATCAGCTGGCTTCACCTGTGCCACAACGATCGCAGCATGGCATATAGATACATATACACACACAGATGGAGAGGCATGCTGCTCGACGAGGGACCCCCGGAAATCTTGGAAGACGTGACTCTGTGGCTATCGGGGCGCATGGAATACTATTGAACTGTACCATTTGCAAAATGATTGAATCCTAAGGTGCCGGAAGCAAAGATACTCACACTCACAGCGTCATCAGCTAAAAGACCCTAATATACGGAGCGGCAGTTCAAGCAGCACCAGCATCACCAGAAGTTCGTCGGTCCCCGATGACTTTAGAAAACATCTCAGGCCTCCGACTTCATGGGAATTGGATGCCAGGCATGCAAAACAGAGACCAAGTTAAAGCTGTGCTGTGTTCAGTCTCATAGTAACAAAGCTTCCTGGCAATAACCCATGACGGGATGTGTGGGGAGAGCATACTTCACATGCTTTTGCGGTTTGGCAGCCATGGTTTCAAGTTGACCAGCATGTAAGTTAAGACTTTAGCTTTCGAGCCCACCCACACTGGCCGCAACTCTACACCGTACTTAAAGGATCATGGGACTTAGTAAGTGGGGTTATAAATAAGGTAACTGTACTTATAAGTACTTATAACTCCAAATAAGGTACTTATAACCTGACTTACTAAGTCCCATGATCCTCCAAGTACCAGTTGAATTCCGGTCTCAAGGCTTCAAAAGCTACACTTGGCACCTGGCGCTTTGCACCCTAAACTCTTTAAACACTACAACCACATGAATGCAAACAACACATAATTCCGGTCCTCAACTCAAAGCAATAACAACAAGCAGGACAAACCCAAAGAGTCTGGAGAAGCCCCCCACGCACATAACGACCCAAACACGAGCTGCGACATACTCTGTTTGTCTGTCATTCCTTGCGTAGCCTTGCCCAGCACGTTTCAAGCTCTTCTATGACGATCAAGGTTAAGCACCCTAGAAAATCCCAATCGCGCGATTTCTTCCGTTGTCGAAGCAATCAGTTTGCAAGGGCAGGATGCCTGCGGTCAGCTTCCCCCAAGCCGTCCGCGGACTTCGACGGCTCCTGACGGCTCGAACACACATGTACGCACACTTTAAACACGAGTATGGACATGTAAGCTGAACGAGTTCACAATTACATGTATATATATATATATATATATACATACTTATATTTATTTATAATTCATATACATATATATATATATATACATACATAAATATATTATATATATATATACATATGGAGAGAGAGAGAGAAGCAACGCCGTTGTTAGACACGCGGGTGCAACGAAGCACAACACAATGGCTTTATGAACAAGGAATCAACAATAGTAAAGTGGCAGTAGTAACTTGCAATGTCAATTGATGTTTGGGTCTTGCAAGTCTTAAATGTAGCATGATGTGGTGGCTGGTAGCATATCATGTGATGCACGTGCTAGGTGTACTCATGGTGTGTGTGTATGCATGCGTGCATGTGAGTTTATATATATATATATATATATATATAAACACATATGTATGCACATATGTAGGTATATACATATGTATATATATATATATATGTGTACACATATACACAAAAAAAGAATGTATACACACATATGTATATACATGTCCATATATATATATATATATGCATATATATATATATATATATGTGGTGTGTCTCTGTGTGTGTTTCCCTTCATTTCCTGTTCAGTTCGTTGCTGTAGTGACATGTAGCCGGATGAATGAGTATAAACATGCTGCTGTAAATGTTATGCTGAACGACATGAAAAAACGAGCGCTACTACCAGCAAGGATATTATTCGCAAAGGACAGTGCCAATAACCAGCAACACAATAACGGTGACAATCGTCAAGACCAGACACAATTAAAATGGGCCAGACACAGATAGACATATCGATAGATAGAAACTTAAAATGGACAGAACTAATTATGCGTTTGAAGACAGATAGGCACGGATAAGTAGGCAGACAGATACCAGATGGGCAGTTACGGGATAGTTCGGTAGATAGATAGAAGTAGACAGATGCGGATACGCAAGCCGTGTGCATGCAGCTACTGTTGCATATGTCAACATGCTAGACACACATGCATATACACGCAAAAAAACGCACAAGCGGCTTAGGGTTTAGGTTTATAGGTTTAGGGTTTATAGGGTTTATAAGGTTTAGGGTTTAGGGTTTATAGGGTTTAGGGTTTAAGGGCCATCTACAGCATCGAGAACTGCAAAGGTCATTCTGAGCTGATGATACCGGGGGGCCCGAATAAATAGAATAGGGTTCGGGAGTGCAGTTTTAGTATATCTTCATTTCGAAACCCCAATGAACGGTCTTGGAAAGTATAAATGTCTCTACGTTGACTCTACATTACATGCTGGTGGGGTCCTGCGGCACGACGGGACGCCGGAGCCAAAGTAGCGACGAACAGTATTATCCAATGGGCGAACAGCCCGGCAGCACAGCGAGTCGAGGCCCTAATCCGTGACGCTTTCAACATCATTGCGAGCCCACGGATCTCGCTACCTCAGCAGCCCTCACTCCGATCACTGTACCCTAAGGCTCCAAAGTAGTTCCTTTTTGGGGTTCATATAGAATCCTATAAGGTAACCCCAAAAAGGAACTAATTACTATGGAGCCTTTGGGTAGCCACCACCATCGTCCACTTGTGATTTTTCTGAGATGTCTGTTGCTGGCAGCACCAAGTCATTTGCTTGGCACTCTATGCAGAACGCAGAAATGGTAGGCCCGGCGCACATTGGTTGCCAAGTGGCGGGCCTGTCTGAACTCGTCGGTGCGTTGCACTCCATGCTAAGACACCGACCGGCCACACAAAACTGGCTCGAGCAATCGAAAAAGCATGAGGACTTTCTCAGCCTCGAGGCTAAAGTTTACACGGTTATCTCACTGGTGGCCACAGACTCCTTGTGAGACTGGCACTCGCCGCTTTGCGTCTTGCCCTTCTCGGAGCTCTGTGCCGGTCCGTGGAACATCCCACCCATCTCGGACCAGTAGTAGCAAGGGCTCAACAGAGCCCAAAACATTACATAGCCCGCGTAAGATTTGAAAAGGAGGGGGCCGCCCTCCCGAAACATCATGCCAGAGAAAAAGGATCACTGTGCCACCAGCTCTCCATTCCTCATCGGTGCCAGACAACAAGATGTCAGTCACTCTCCTCGCTAAGCAAAGCATGGAAAGGATCGCCTTCAGCATCCTGTTCCTCGGCAGCATCTTGACGATGAGCAGCCCATTCGCATAATACCCGCACAAAGTAGCGCTGCAAAGCTTGGATTTGACCATCCGTGAAGCCGCAGTTAAGCGTGATTACGCCAGTCTGTCGCATGCACTGAGGCAGGCAGCCGGGAAGAGCTGCAGCAGGAACTCCTCCTGGAACCATGGCGGCCGTCCAAGCAACTGCCAGCTCTCGTCGCGCAGCGTCGTTGGCGCCGCAGGACCATAAGAAGTGATCGGTGTGTTCGTCGTCGAGGCCACAGCGCCGGCAGCGCGCGTCAGCCACCTTAGATGCTTTGAACAGACGGTGTCTGCTCCACAGCGCGTCCGCGAGGAAGCGGGCGTAGCGAGCACCTAAGTCAGAGCCGTCCCACCCGAAGGTACGACGGCGGCATCCCAGCTCGATCAACGGCTGCAAGGTACGCCGTCTGTCGATTCCTGAAGACAAGCCCTCATGACAAATTCTACTGCCATCCCAGTGCTTCCACCACCACGAGCGCAGCTCACAGCGAAGCACATGCTTTGCCTTCTGTCCTTCCCGATCTTTGCGTGCAAGATCAGTCAACCTAATCGCACAATCCTCTCGAGGACAAACATGCTCCCAATCAGGCCAGGTCCAGCCCAAAACCTTCAACGACCGACGAACCAACCTAGCAAATCCGACAACCGTACCTCGAAGCCTAGAGCAGGCCCGCCAGAGAACTCTGACGACTGGCTGACTGCGCAGAGAGAGACGCGCAAGCGCAACAACTGCAGAGTAACACTGAATCATGCTGGGATCCATGCGATGCAAGGGGGCCAGAAGGCCCAATGTCAAAGCTGTGCTTCTCATGTAATTATGAGGGTGCAGGGTCGGTCCCCACCAAGCTTGAACGACGGCCGTCCTGAGCTTATCGATGACCAGCTGAGACACAGGAGTGCCTTCAGCATACAGACCTTGCAAGTATGCTGCAAGCAGACCTCTCCGTGTCTCCCGATTAGGGAGGAGGCGAGCACGCAGTACCTTGGAGCGTACCACAGAGGCTCTGTGATCACCCAGCGTGCAGTCAGCGCCAGATGCTGTCTCGAGCATGACACCGAGGTACTTGACAGACTCCTTAAGTGGAAGTCGACGCCACTCAGCAGCTGAAACATCATCTTGAGCAGGCCCCACAAAGAATCTGCAAGATTTCAAGGGATGGATGCTCAACCCAAAAGCAGCATCGAAGACCCTCGTGGCCCGAAGCGCCGAGGCCAGCACGTCAACATCCTTGTTTAAGAGACATCTGTCGTCTAAGAAAACACGAAGCAAATCAAGCTTGGGAAGGCTCCAAACCCAAGCAGCCATCACGAGGTTGAGGGCCCACGGGGCAAGAGGGTCCCCCTGAGGAAGTCCCCTCTGCTCCGCTGCTTTGATGGTCACGCCGGTGGGCCCATCGCAGAGCCAAACATGTCTCGTCAAGCTTTCCCAAATGCTCACGACGTTGAACATGCAAATCGGGGCGCCCGCATGCCGCAGGAGAGCCTTGAGACTGTGCAGGCTCACGGTGTCGAAGCACTTAATCGTGTCAAGACAAGCGCCAGCCAGAAAAGCATCATCGAAATGCGAGGCGGCAAGCCAGGAGGAAACCTCGTTCCCCGTATCCACAGCAGACGGAGCGCCATTGCGACCGCCGACAAGTTCATCCGGAAACCAGGAGCACCACTCGCCGAAGTGCTTCGCAGTTCGAGCCGCCCACATTCTGTAAACAGTATGCAAAATAGACAAAGGCCGTGCCGACCCATCATCCTTCGGGATACAAACCAGACGAGCGTTGCTCCACGAAGCTGGAAAGGGAAGCCCCTTGTCAAAAGCATTGAACAAGTCAACAAGCCGTTGAAGATGCTCATCTTCCAGATCGCCGATGTGTTGGAAAGAAATCCCATCAAGACCAGCCGCCGTGGAACGAACCTGAGCTCGAATGTCCTGAATGGTCCACTCCGGAAGGCCCGGAAAGGGCGTAGCCTTGGAAGCCACAACCTCACTGAAGGTCTGAGCCGCCAGAACCTGTTTCCGAACCTGAGCAGGACAAGCCTCAGTCCAAAACGGCAACCACTCTCTCCTGACTGCGCAGCCTTGTTCAGTCGGTGTGAGAGCAGGCTTTCCGTCCGCCCTCAGCAAAGCTAAGGGTTTGGTGGGCCCCTGCTTAACCCATTTGGACGCCTGAGAAACGTCTCGCATTCGGATCTTCCATGCCGCGATGGCACTGCGCCGGCGATCGTTGAGAGAATTCCTCAGCTCCACCTCGGTGGCTTCATACTGAGCATGCTTCCGGGGGGTCCATCCCGTGACAGAGGCCTCAGCAGACAGGCGCCTCAATCTATTCATGAGGCCCAAAACAGCGTCCGTGTCCTTAGCAACGACCGCTCCCTTGGCGGTTCTGTAAGGAGTCTCTTGTCCCGTCAAACCGAGAGCACAGCCAAGCCAAGTACTCCATGCTGTTTGCGAGTCGTTGCGCGCAATGGCATCGTGAAAAGCGGCATCATCTTGGGCAGACCAAGGTCGGGACACTGGCCTCGGTAGAGCCCAGGCAATGCGGTCCTCCGCATGAAGCTTGCCAGGGACATCACAGATGAGTGGTGCGTGCTGCGTAGTAACCTCGTTATGAAGACCAACGACGTTGGCAGGCTTGAGGCTCCCACACCCAACAAACCCGTCAATGGGATGACACCAGGAGTGTTTGACAGAGCTACGCCAAGTACCAAGCATGGTATGACCAAAATGGCCAGAGCAAGGATGAATCTCAAGAAGATCGGTATTAAAATCCCCCCCAGAAAACCAAACTCCCGGCTTGTCTTGCCACATGGCCAGTTCCCCAAAGAAGGCTTCCTGCGTACCTCGCTTCTTAATGGGGGCATACACGCTCGCAACTCTAGCAAGATCACCCCCGGCAAGCCTGAGGGCGACAGAACAGATTTGTTGAGAGTCCTGAAGCGAGCCAGCTGAATACCGGCGATGGACTAAGATCATTTCACCATACCCGCAAGCCCGAGGGGGGCCCCAGAAAGCTTGCCATCCAGCAGACCTAAGGTCCCTGGCAGTTCTTGCTTGTGCTGCAGCTTTCACACGATGTTCCTGCAAAAGACACACATCCACGTCATATTTGTTCAGAAGCTGAAGAAGTAAATCCTTTTGGGTGTTGAGGCTCCCAAGATTCCACGAAAAGAAGCGAATGCTGTGAGGGCCCGGGTTGGACGCCTCACCCAAACGACATTCGTGGGTCCAAGCCATCCACGCAACAACAGCCTGGACCCCGTATCTTCACAGCTTACACAAGCGCTTCTGACGGGCAGCGGGCTTTTTAAGGACTCTGGCCAACTTACGAGCAGATCCCTTGCTACCCCCAAGCGTGCACTGCTCACGACAAGCCTTCTTGTGGAAGTCACTGGCCGCTTGACTACGAACCTTCTTACTGGGTTTCGGCGCATCCCCCAAACCCGCCTGCGATTGCGGGCAGATGTTACGCATAAGTTCAGAAGCAGAATTTTCATGGCCGCATCTCGTGCACCTACACCACCGCGACACTCCGCCGAGACCTTTGCGGGAGCCTTTTACCTCAGAGCGTCCTGGCCACGAAGACGGCCGCACTTCTTTAAGCTCAACATCGTGAGCCCATGAAAGGCCAGCAGTCCTGAACAGGGAAAGCTTGCGAGCCAGGACCTGAGTGGCAACTTGGTTCCTTAGCGGGACTTGGTTACCGGCCAGAGCAGCCGGTCTACGAACGTAAGGTTCCATGCAGTGAATGCACTCTCCCCAATGTTTACGGCGCTGGACACCTGGCATGGGATCCTCTGGGTAGCGTGCCGCAGGCACCCTCCATCCGCACTGACACTGGTTGGTCGTTTTAAGGCCCGCGCCATCAAGGGCCTCAGAGGAAACAGCTCCCAGGACCACCTGTGCTTGCTTGGCCTGTCTTAGAAGCGCGTCAGGAGCTCGTTTTCCTACAATTCTGCGCGACCCTTCCGAATGCCCATCGTGTGGGGGCGCAGGGCGAAGCCACAAAGAGGTCTCTGAAGCGGCATTTTCAAAAGGAAGGGCATTGGACTTTTCCGCTTCCATTCCCGTAGTAGGAAAAACCCCAGTTTTCCCGCATCTAAACTCCTCAAAGGACCCTTCTACATGCCCATCTTCCGAGAGCACTGGGCGGAGCTCCGCAGAAGAGCCACCAGCAACGGCCCTCTCTGGGGAATGATCAGGGGCCTTGGATGAGGCAGCCGAGCGCGCATCAACAACAGGCCTGAGCCACAGTGAACTCTCTGAACCAGCACGTGAGGCAGAACCCCGCGAGGACTTACGGCCTCCGCCCAAGTAGCTTTGGGAGGCCGCAGGCCGGTTGTCGTCAAGACCAAGCTTGGCCCACTTGGCAGGCGGAGAAACTTCGGGGTGCAGCGTGTAGAAGTGTTGGTCCTTCAGGAAAAGGAACAAAGGGTTGCTGTTGGTCTTGTGTCTCGGCACAACTCTTTCGATAAATTTCCATTTCTTTTGAACATGCTTAAACACCAGGACCTCAACCTGCAGAACATGTGCGGCGGCCATCGTCATCCATGGGTCAAGCCATTTGGCGGGGCGCCGGCAAGCCTCGAGGTATTGGGAAGCATCCTGAGGGAGTGAGCCTCCTTCCGTTTCCTCCGTACAGTCAGCATCAGGATACCACTCAAGCACCCAAGCACCCTGATTACTGTCGAGCCAATCAGCAGCCCGCGTTCTGAGAGAAAGCGCCACTTTTGCAATCTTGGGTTCCAACTTTGCCACCGTCGCTCCCTGTCTGAGGGCGTTGCTTGCAGCTAAACAGCGAAAGCCGCAATCTCCGAATCCTCCCAAATCCCACATCTTAACATCATCAGGGCCTGAAGAGCCGGACTCCTGGGGCGAGATGGACGAGTCAACACGCTGAGCTTTTTGGGGTTTGTTGGGCGAGGAAACACCGGTGCGATCATGCTTCTCTCCACGCTTGTCATCATGCTGCTCATCACGCTTGTCATTCATGTCAATTTCAACGGAATCACTGGGCAGGGAGCCATCAATTTGGGTGGGGGCGACATGGCCATCGAACCCTTCACCGTGGGAGTTCTCAGTCACTTCCGCGATTTTCGCGGCTTCCTTGGGGGGGTCCTTAACCCGACTCACCCAGGCAGCCGGAGCCCGGATGGGCTGGGAGATGATTCTGGTAGTATTCTTGAACCAAGGTGAAATCTCAATCGTACCCTGGTCCCCACACTTCAGGAACCATTGACCACTCGGTTGTGCCTGAGGCGGTGCAGCGCTGAACGTCCACACACCTTTTGGCTTAGCCGGCGCTTGAATGCCAGAGATAACTCTCCAGTGCTGAGATTCCAGGAGTTGCTTTAGCTGAGCCGGAAACCAAGTGGACGGAACCCCTTTTGCAGCCCAGCGACGTTTGACAGAGGCCTCAGAATCATTCTCCCCAGGGGAGACACCGATAAGGCCCAGGCACGATCCACCCCCTGCCCTGTAGGCAAGAGGGACCTTAGCTTTATCAGCTTCTCGCTTCGCCATAGCGTAGTACGCCGGAGCTTTCATCTTGTCAACGGGAAGCCACTTGACAAAGGCCCGCCCACTAGGGTCAGACTGGTTGTCGACTCTCTTGACAAAAACTCCCTTAGCGCCCGAGTTCCCAAGAACAAGCAAACTGGAAGCTTCGGGAAGTTTGAGGAAGCCACTAATAGCCTCGTCACGCTGCTCGGTTTTATGCCATCCAAAACTACGCACCGCAAGGTCATCAGGAAGGATCGCTCTCACCGCCGACGCAGGTTTCCTAACGGTTTCATCCCAATCAAATGACGTTTGAAATGCTTTCGGGATGGTGACCTTGAGAGTGGCTTGCTTGACCTGTTCAGGCACACTTTTGCACTCAACAACAGCAGGTTGGTGACCCCACGAAGGGAGCTCGTCGGACAGGGCAACGACCCATGCTTCCTTCCATTTACCATCAACAAGACGGATCCACGACTTGGTAGCTTTGAAGCCCTCTGGCCCCTTGCTTTCCTGGTGATCCTTGAGGATCAAAGCAACTTTGCTCTTGAGCCCGTGCGCCGCAGCCAAGCCACGAGAGGCCTTAGCCTGCTCTAAAGTCACGACAGCAGCAGCGTTGTCGCCTGGCTCCTCTCCGTCCTCAAGGTCTTTGTCGAGAGCTGAGGCAGAACAAAGCTTACCAGGCCACCACTTCGGATCTACAGCCCAGGACTGAGGAGCTTGAGCGCTCTTTTCAAACGTCCTTTTCCCCTTGCTTGCAACGGGGCTAGACCAAGCAGCCGCGGGTGTTCGAGGCTGAGGCTGAGCTTTAGGAGCCGGCGCAGGGCTCTGGACCAGAGCCTTCAAGCTGCTGAGAAGACCCTGAGTGCCCTTTGTTTCACACTGCAGCACTAACGCCTTAAGTTGCGCTAGCAGGGTAGCTTCTGAGGCACAGGCAGGCGACAGCGGTCGGGCGTTTGGCGGCTCGAAAGACACTCGGCGAGGAGGGTCAGCACCGTCATTTGGTGCATCGCTTAAGCCTTTGCCTTTCCCGCCTTTAGCCTTGGGCCCCTTCTTACCCTTACCTTTAACTTGCCACCCGGGACTCGGGCTGCGGCTCGCACTAGCACAATGGCCGGGCGACACCTTTCGGGGTGTGGGACTGCGGCCTCTCGGTTGAGCCGGCGACTGTGGTCTGGCCTCTGCAGGATCCTCATCCTCGGAAAGTGAAGCCAGCAAAGCTTGCAAGCCAAGAAGCAGTTTCTGCTCCTGTCGTTGCCTCTTAGAGGCCGCAGCTCCAGCGCCTCCGCCACCACCGTGCCAGTGTGTCTTAGGGCACCAGCCGAGCAACGAAGCTTCTGGAAAGGCCTCTTGCTTCTGAGGCGTGGCTGCGGCGGCAGGTTCGTCTGAGGCAGAGACGACTGAGGCCACAGCAGCTTGCCCGGAGGACCGAGGACCATCACTGTCGTCAAACACTCTTGCATGAGGCATGAACCACAAGCATCTACGACAACGAGAAAACATGCAGGCTTTCCAAATGACATGAACTGACCGTTCAGGGCAACGACGTATCAGACGGAAAACTTGGGCACGTATGCGGGTGCTCACACGTGGTGGTTTGCAACGGACCTGATGTCCGCCTCCGACCCCGTACTTTCTCGCGGATTGGATCCAAGTTCCTTCCGGGGGTTGCTGGGGGTTCGAAGGGCGTTTCTTTCGCCTGTGCTGCGCGCGCTTGCGCTTTGTCAAGTCGATTTTTCCTCTGAGGCGTCGAATGACATCTTGCGAGGAGTTAACAAGGAGATCACCAGACTTGGTTCTCTTTCTGGTCTTGCGTTTTTGCCTTTTCCAGGCCCGCTGAACCGCTTCATACACCCCACGAAGGACGACAGAAGCAGCAACAAGGAAAGCCACCGCGAGGTAACACTTCCCAAACCGAGGTCCCCACTCCCGTGTCGAGAGAGCAGCGAAGAACTCGAAAGCCAGAGGAAACTCGTATTCCGAGACGTTGAAACCGCGGGGAGGCCCATGTGCCCATACAGGAAGCATGAGAGAGCCGCCCACTTTAAGAGTGCAGAAGTCACACGTGGGTAAGCCCACATCAAAGACTGGAACGTGGCAGAAGTGTGGCACTGTTGTGGGTAAGCCTACAGCACAACCAAACATCTGCAAGTGAGGCTCTGAAGCAAAGGCCTCAGTGAAGTTGACGCCCAAGCCGCGCCAATCACACAGGCGGGCGCCAGTGTCGTAGCCATGCTGTGCGCTGCCATGTTCGAGGCAGCCATACTCCGCGCAAGCATTGCTGAAGGATGCTTGTGATCCATTTCTTTCTACCGTGCAGCCCCAAGGGCAGTAATTTAGTGCCTCCAAGCGGCTGGTGGGACTCGACGACAAAACCCCCCCCGAAACGGAAACCGGAAGAACCGCAACCAACACCCACCCAAACCAGCTAAACCAAGGAGAGCACCTCAGTGCGCAGTGCCGACGCGCCGATCGGTCTTTCGGGCTGAAAGCCTCTTGAGGGCTTGTTAGCTCTTGATCATTTCTTTTGTCAGTCACTTTTGCGACGTCTTGTTTCTTTCTTTTTCTTTTCTTTCGATTCTTCAAACTCTTATCTGACTCACTTCGTACCCCGAGCAACGCATACTCAGAGTCCGCCTCCACCAAGCTTCTGAGAAAGCAGGGGGTGTAGTCGAGGAGGCTTACATAGCCCGCGTGGACCTGGAAAGGCAGCAGAGCATCCTCGATCGGCCTGTAGAAGCAGAAGCCTGCAATCACGGCCCCGAGATTTCCACCGGCACCCACAAGCGCGGACACAACTGCGAGCTGCTTCCTGACTGCGCATACCACCACAAGGCACAACAAACCGCAGATTAGTTGTTGCCATGACCGCATTACTTCACACCTCGATGTGCTGACCTGTCCCACATTAATTAATGCAACAGCAGGTGGCAACTGCGAATCACCTACAACCTTCCTTGTACTGATCCAAGCTTCCGGTTCATGAAGGGCACGATGCCGTAGGAGGTGCCCTCAGCCATCTGCACAAAGAGCGAGAAGCAAACTAAGACTGCCAATGCCACGTACCAAGGCTGGGAATTGTCCACGTTCCCGAAGCTGAATAGGAAGATAGCTTCGAAAAAGAGTGCCAGGAACTGGGCCCAAATTCGGCCGCGGAAGCCGAAGTACTTGAAGCAAACATCGCTGCTGATGCCTCCAAGTGATCGAGCGAACAGATTCATAAGACCGAAAGCACCCGCCAGGGCACTGGCATCACCTGCATCCATCTGGAAGTATGTCCGAAAATGCGTAGCCAACTGATTGTTCATTGCGAGCTCTGTGCCGAAACACGCGGAATATTGGAATATCATGACCACGACGCGAACGTCACGCAGCACCTCGACATAGTCCCACATCGAAGGTTTTTGTGTCTTGCCGGTCACGGCCGGATCGTAGTTGCGTGCCGTAGGCATATCCCAGCACATGAGCTTCATGCAAATGGCAACGACCACGAACATGACCGCTGGCACCACCATGCAAACACGCCAAGCGACATTCGGCTCCAACCCGGAGGCCACCATAGGATTGAAAAGTACAGACATCATAAAAATCTGGGTCACGCCGCCTCCCAAGTTGCCCCAACCGGCCGCAGTGGCGTTGGCCGTGCCGACAACATTGGGCGAAAACATCAGCGAGCACCAGAACTGGTTGGTCACGAACGTGGCGCCTGCGCAACCTATGAAAAAGCGGATCAGCGTATAGTTCCATGGAGCTGTAATGGCGGCCGCCATTGCCACCCAGAAGGCCCCAAAGGACAGTAAGCCACACTGAACGTTCACCGGACCGAAGCGCTCGAGGAGCGTCCCCAAAGCAACCCTCACGAAGATGGTCGAGGCAACAGAGGCCACGCCGGCATTCCTAGTTCATGGTTGGGATAGGATTAAAACATTTATTTATTTTTACCTTATGGGGTTTAAGTACCCATAAAAAAGGTAAAATGCAAAACAACTATGACAAAGATTCGCAATCACGGAATTACATTCCGTGCCTGGGGTGCACACGCACTTTGTCAGCACCTGCGGTCTGTACTTCTCCTTCTGCTCAGCCGTTGACTCGGCGCCACTCGCCACATCTGGGGGGACGTCCTCGCACTCGATTTCCTTGCCGTCCTCCTTGAGGACCCCATACTGGCAATAGCTCAGCCCACTCTTCAAGTTCTTGAACTTCAGGTAGGCTGGTCGTGTCGGGAAGTCCGTAGGGGGGAAGAGCTGGTTCTCACACGTCCCCATGCTGGTCGCAACTTCGAGGCCCAAGGGCGCCAAGGCAAACCAGCCTTGGCAGCTTACACTTTTTGTTTTGATAACAGTGTACGTTAAAGGTTGAAACGAGCTAAGCCCAAAAGTGCGAAGATTACATAGTAATAATAAAATTGTGCGAAGCAGCCCAAGAAGGCAAGGAAGAAAGATATGACGCTGGCCCAGAAGGCCCGCATGTGTGGATTCTGCTGTACGGTGCCGCAAACCCTCAATAGCGGCAGCTCCGTAGCCTTCTTGCTGGAATCCACTGCGAGCTTGTACTCCATGGCTCTACAAAGCGGGGTGACAATAGTCTCTTTCTCTGAGGCTAAAGCTCGAGCACCAATAACTTGCGCCAACAAATGCGAGGGTCTACAGCTTCGGCCTAGGCCCAGGCGTTTCGGGCTGTTTAGCTGTTCGAGAGGGAGAGGGAGAGGGAGAGGGAGAGGGGGAGGGAGAGGGCGAGGGAGAGGGAGAGGGAGAGGGAGACAGAGAGAGAGAGAGAGAGAGAAAGATCGGGGAAACGCGGAATCTGCTTGGAGAGAGAGAGGGAGAGAAAGATCGGGGAAACGCGGAATTTGCTTGTTGAGTTCGTTGTTCGCCGATGTTCTACGTCGTCTCCTGCCAGTGGATGACGCTGAACATGGACTTGCACCGCGGGAGGCATCTTGCTGGAGCACCTTTCAGCCAGATGCCCGAGGCAGGAAGAAAAGACGCTCTTCACTTTGAGGGCTGAGGGTTAGTTGAGAGTTTCGGAAATAGGGGTACCTTACTTTCTGGTCCTTATAATCAGGATCCCACTCATTAGGCTAATATATTAGGGTTCCCTATATTCGGCGACTCCCAATGAGGTGTTAACATGCACAATTGGTTTTGGGGTCCCTACGCGACCAGGAGGGCCACCACCAGGATAAGCAGGAGACCACCAGGAGACACCCTAAACCCTAAACTCTAAACCACCAGAAGACCCCCGGAGCCCTAATGCTTTACCCGCAGTATGGGGTTTAAGGGGGATTCGAAAGCTCGACCAGGATGCTTTGTTCGGCGGCCATCCATGACCAAAGCCAGATTTAAATGTCCACGAGATACTGCATTGCGAGACTGCGGCTCCTGTGCTTCTCCCCCATTCAAAGGTTTCCAAAGACACCCCAAACCCTTTGCTGCGATTCAAGAAACCCCGAAGCCTACAGGCCTAAAGCCCGAAACCCTCAATCCTAAACTAGACCCCACAAAAGCCCTGAACCCAAGCCCCTAAACCCTAATCCCAAAACGCTCTATGGAAATCCTAAACCCTAAAGAAACCCAAACCCTGAGCTGCGAACATGTTTTTGACCATAGCGGAAAGCTCTGCGTGCCGGGCCCTCTGAGACTCCTTCAAGCTGCATTGCTCTAAGGGATGGAAGTGGTTGGTAAAGTTAGGGCTTGGGTTTAGGGCTTAGGATGTCGGGTTTCGGTTTAATTTTGGGTTTCATGCTTAGGGTTTAGGTTAAATGTATACTGTACGTTGTCTGAGGGCTAAGGGCTTAAGGGTACCGCAGTGGACTTCACTTAGAAAAGGGGACGTGGGACATATGCGAATATGCTTGTATGAAGGAACCTATGTAAGAGTCTTAATCTTAACCTGTAACATAGGGCTTTGGGATCCGATTTTAATGTAAGCAAGAATGGGCCACAAAGGGAAACCGCTGCTACTTGCGCGGACCCCTATCACAAGCAGCCAACGCAAGCCTAAAATTAGTCTTGCTTGCACTACACTGTGCTAGACTATACCAGACTACACCTTCTAAATACTAGGAGCGGCGAACCATTGTTAAGTCTCCGTACAAGAAAGATCGCTCTATTCTCTGAAACTCCCCTCTTTGTTCCCTACGAGCTCATCCATCTTTTGATTCTCTCCGCATGTATCATTCAAGGTGTATATAGGGTTCTATGTAGAGGCCTTTCGTATTTAGAACAGCTTTTGGAGGCTATATGATCGATAACTAGAGAGTGAGACAAGGGCATTCGGGGAAAATGATTCACTTGAACTACGATTCATATGTTTAGTATTGGTACTAGGGTGTGGCACCCCTTCTGGGAAAACGGACCTGTAGCTGATCATGTCTTCGGTGTGCGACAGAATTTTGCAACACAAGTGTGGGGTTGCCCATAAAGGCAGCAAAAGCGATCACCTAAGATGGGAGCTCCAGGCAAAAACCTTCTGCGACTTGCACACAAACCCCAAATGAGAGGATCCTTAGCAACAGAACTCGCAACAGGGGACCAAGAACTTTGCAACTTTGAAACGCACCCAACAAAAATGTTTGGAGGGGCGGGGGTTCATCACTACTACTACTACTACTACTACTACTACTACTACTACTACTACTACTACCACTACTACTACGCCTACTACTACTACTACTACTACTATGATTATTAGTCTTCCATTAATTCTTATTGTCATTATTATTGATACTACTACTACTACTACTACTACTACTACTACTACTACTACTACTACTACTACTACTACTACTACTACTACTACTACTACTACTACCACTACCACTACCACTACCACTACCACTACCACTACTACTACTACTACTACTACTACTACTACTACTACTACTACTACTACTACTACTACTACTACTACTACTACTACTACTACTACTACTACTACTTACGATGAATTCTGGCCAACACAGGGCTCCTCGAGCAGAACCTTGGTCTTCTCGAGCTCCCTGGCTGTGGTCTGCGCCTGCTCCGGAGTGCTCCGCAGTGCGCATGGGGGTAGTTTTTAAAATTAGGGTCCCTTTTTGGGTCCCTAATATAATACGGCACCTAATATTTAGGGTACCCGAAAAGGGACCATAATTTTGACAACCACCCATGAAGGGAAGGAATCATGGGGTTAAGAGCTTGGGTACTGTATGTTTGGGGGTTTAAGAAAGGTTTCAAAAAGGGGCATAGGGCCTATAGGGCCCAATATACTTACAGCTTGGAGAAAAACTGATCTTGGGGTACTGGATCCTGATCCCTCCCATACTGCCGCAGGCAGCTGTCAAAAGGGACTGCTGATTTTAAGCAGCTCTGAGTTGAATCTTTAGACATGGGATACCCACATTTTCACAAGTTGAGCTTCGAGGCCAAAATCTAAACTCTCAGCAACTATAGAATCTAGACAGAACTCTCTGCCGGGATTTCTGCTCACGTTTTGAAACCGAACGCCGAAGCCAAATCTTCATGAGAAGGCGGCTTGCTTTGAGCTGCTCGGAAAAGCAGAAACCATCAGGGGGAGGGCTAAGACACTCCCCCTGGCTTAAGCACATCGATGGCCCCTTTTAGGGGTTCGGGGTATTGCGGGCATATCACGACAAGAACCCCTCAACATGCTTGCTGTCTTCTTTGTAATAATACTTATCTAAATCCATTTTAAAGAAACAATAATAATCCAATACATATACCCTAGTTTGTACTTTTGATATGTCACATTAAAAATCCGGACCGCTCAGCCTTGGTGAAGAACATATATTTGTGCTAGTGCTTAGGGCTCGGTGCGGCTAGGGTTAGCGGCTTAGGGGTTACAGGGTTTTTATAGTGGTTCCTTTTTGGGGGTTCATATGTAGAACCCTATAAGGTAATCCCAACAGGGAACTACTATGGGGCCTATACTATGGGTAGAGGCTTAGGATTGGGGGCCTAAGGGGCCGGTTTGGGAGCTTTCGGCTCATGCATCCATGCGGAGTACAAAGCCAGCTTCCCTCTTCGAGCACGGATTGTGAGACTAACAGGGGAACTATAGGGTTCCTTTAAAGCGTTCTATAAGGGCTGCTATAGCAACGATTGCCTCCATTCTCAAAGCCACAAACTCAATGTTGTCTCTGAATAGCACTTGTCGACCGAAGAACAGGATTGAGGCCACATCATGTTTCTATACTTGCTCGACGCTTGACGATGCCGGCACCTTGGTGACCCCAAGCCTGTGCAAATTGGATTAGCCCTTGCGCCGCCTGTCTTAAGCGACACAGCAAGTACTTTGACTTGCAAGGGGAACTGTACATTGGTCGTGCCGTCGCATGTGAGATGCGCTGCTCTGGTTTCTACACTTCTCTCGTAACGTTGCCATGCCGGGGAGATATTGAAAGACCTGACACCCAGTCTCACCTTGTGTTTTACGTTTAAAACCCTGTATTTCTAGCTTTGAACCGGCGACAGTGGGAGAATGCAGCAGGCATCCCAAACTGACGGGCTGGCCTTGCGGGTTGTGGCCTAGGCCTCGCAGGATTTCTACTTTACGCAACAAGGGAACGAGAGGTGACCACAAGGGCACGATAAGGCATAGGGCTGAGGCTTTACGCCTTACGGTTCAGGATCTCACCCTGCGACTCATTTGAGCAATGATTCCTTTTGACGTGGGCTCATCCTACGACATCGTGTTTGCCAGTGCACAGTAAGCTCGATGTTTACAACAAGAACGATAGCGTCAACCATCGCTAGTCGGATGTGGTCCCGGGCCAGAACGAAACCAGTGCTCACATCCTCTTGTCTCCGCCACCGCACGGCAAGCCCCTCTTCAGCGCCTGCAGTTGAGTTGGGTGGCATGGATGCTGAAGGGTGCATGGGTGTCGGTTTTCGGATTCAGACTTCAGTGATTGCTTTTCGCAGCTTGTCCTGCATGGGATTTGAATGGGTTCGGTCCGGTCGGAACAGGTTCTAACAAGTTTCCAAACATCGGGAGACAGCTGCAGACTTACAATTTCGTGTTGTTAAGCATCGGGTTGATGTTTGGAGTGCAGGCTTGGCGGGGTGCTCGAGGTTTATGTCTAGACGAGACCTGAACTACATACGTATGGCTTGAAAGGAGAGCCTCCAAACCTAAAGTTGTAAGTAAATTCCCCCCAACCCCCCACCCCTCCCCCCTACCCCTTCCCCCCAACCCACCTTCCTGACTCCCAGACCCCGAACTCTCAACCCCCAAAAAGTTGGAACGTAGATTTAGGATGATT